GCCAGATGGGAACTGGAAACTGCTCTAGCCTGTCTCTTTCCCTCCCTCTCTCACTCAGTCAGTCCCTCTTTGCCCTGTTCAAGGTCAGTCCTGTTGCCCCCCACCCAGTGCCTCCTCTGTGGGCCAGATTTAAGTGACCCTGGGTCTCAGTTTCCTTTTCTATACAAGGTTCACTAGAATCCTGGGAGGAGCCTGAGAAACATGATCCCATGATCCCTAGCCCTTCATTTGGCAGGAAATGGGGTAGGGGGGGAGAGTGGACATTTCCAAGCTGGAAGTAGGGTTTGAGAATTCTGTCCCTCCCAGAGGGGAACGCTAAATCCTCAAAGTGGGAAGGTGAGTATCAGACAGAACCTCACTCCCCTTCCTCTTCTGAGCCCTCATTCCCTGCTGGGGAATGGGGAAGCATACCTGATCCATACCATGTAGACTTCTGGGGGGGGAGCGGGGAAGGAACCTGAAGCCTTTGGCCTGTACTGGGCTAGATCCCCCGCCAGATGAACCTGAGCTAGAGAGAGGAAGAGGCCCACAGCTGCTGTCTCCACTGCTCTCTTTTCCTCTCCTTTCTCTCTTTCTTTCCTCTGCTCTCTTCTCTCTGGGAAGGAACGCTGTGCTCCCTCTCCTTGTCCCTCCCCACCTGAAACCCTTCCCTACAGCCCCCCAAGAGCACAGGCCAGACTTGCCTTCCAGAAATCATCCCCATCTCCCTGCCCCCCGGCTCCCAGACACTCACATGTCACCTTCACACTCTCCTTCCTCATGGAGGCCAACCTTCAAAGCCCAGCTGTCTGCCCAGCCTCTCCAAAAAGCTCCTGGATCCTTTCCACCAGTTCCCCATTTACTCTTGACTCGAAGCTTTGGCCTCACCCCGCCCCCCACCAGCTCACGTGCTGACCAGTCCGGCTCCTTCAGAGCTTCCTCAGCTTTGCCAGGCCCATACATATGTTCACTCATCTCAGCCTAGCCATCCTTTACCTCTCCCAGTTCTTCATAGCCTCTACTGTAAACTTTCTTTTCCCTCCCCAAACACCCCAACTCATCTCAAATTTTTCTGAGGTTTGGCATGGGCAGAGGAGAGTGGCACCACCATGTCCCGTCCTGGGAGCTGCTATGCCCCCCCACCCCGACCCCACGAAGCCCAAGACCCCACTGAGCTGCAGTCCACTCCCCCTCCCCCCAAACCACTCTCAGAGCAAGACCTCATCTCAGGCAGGAAGACCTGAGTTCAGATCTAGCCTCAGGCACTGCCTAGCTGTGGGACCCTGGGCAAGTCACTTCTCTAATGCCATCTGCCTCCATTTCCCCATCTGCAAAAAAAAAGGCTAATAAGAGCACTGCCCCTCCCCAAGTCATTAAGAGATGTTTGTAACACACTTAGCAAAACTTAAAAGCACTAGAGAAATGTTAACAATGATGAAGTGTAACATTTGACATTCATTCCTATTGAGTTTCAAAAGAGAGAAGCTGTTGCTTTTTGGATCCTGACTATCACCCAATGTCTCCATCATTTCTCCCAACTTCTTGTCATTTGAAAATCTGATCAGCAGACCCCTGGTAAACCTTTCTGGAAGTCATGGTCACAAACCCATGGTAAACAGCTCAGGGCCAGCCACAGATGCCTGGAGCACCCCCTTCTTCAGGCTGACGTTGCATTCTTGGTCACCATCCTCGAGTTCTGACCGCTGAAGTTGCTCCAAACCCATCTCCTCATACTGTGCCATAGCCAACATCTCTCCATCTTGTCCCCAAGGATAGGACGTGAGATTGGACCAAATGCTCTGCTGAAATCCAGGCACCCTGTGGCCACAGCACCCCCATCTCCCATCCTAGTTAAAACAAACTCATCCAAAGAGGGAGTCAGGCCTGGCCTGCTCTGGTGCGAGGCTTTTGGACTCCTTGAAATCACCACTCCCCTTTCTAGATCATCTCCTTAATAACCCCTTTGGGGATTTCCCCCCAGGAAACAAAAAGCAGGCTCCCTAGCTTAGAGTTTACAGGCACTCTGTTCTCTTCCCTCTTTTGAAAACCAGGACGCCCATCTACCATCGGGCAGTCTTGTGGGTACTCTCCCATTTTCCAATGTCTTTTGAATCCCCCTCCAGCATGCTCTGCAGTCCCACCTGCCAGTTCTTTCGTCCATCTCTCCTCTGGACCAGATGACTTGAATTCAGTAGGGGCAGCCTGATGTTCTCTCCCTCCCTCCCCCTCTGGGGCGCCCACTGGGTTTCTTCTCTGTCGTGACTAGGCCAAAGCTCATCCTTCTCCTTGACAGAGACCACAGAAGCCAAAGGCGGCTTGGGCAGCTCCTCCTCATCTCTGGTCTCTGGGAATCACGGTCCCATCCATCTCAAGCAGTAGTCACATCCCTTCTTCCATTCTCACCCTTCCCCCAAGAGAACGACACCAAATCCCAACCTTTGTGTTGGCCTGGGCTTCCCTGGCCAGCCTCGGCTCATTCTGAACCTGAGCTTCCTGGTCACTCCATTTATAGAACCCTGCCTTCCCTCCATCTTCTGGAATACCTCCATTTTGCGGGCCTCAGCTCACTGCTTCTGACTTTCCCAGTCTTCTTCTACCTCACTCCCATTCTTGTAGTCTAGGATCCAGTGCCACAGGGCCTGCTGGCTGTCCCTCTCACCCAACACTCCCATCTCCTTACTCTAGGCCTGGTCCCTGGCTGTCCCCCAGGCCTGAAACACTCTTCTTCTTCCTCTCTGCTTCCTCACTTCCCAGGCTTCCTTCAAGTCTCAGCTAAAATCCCCCCTTCTCCAGTGAGCCTTCCTCTGGTGATTGTCTCCAACTTCTCCTGGATATATTCCGCTTATATATTGTTTGTATAATGTCTCCCCCCCAAGCCCTGATTTTGCTTCTCTGTGTATCCCTGGTTCTCGGCCCAATACCTGGCACAAAGTAGGCTTGCTTAAGAAATGCTTGTTGACAAACGAATTTAAACTTTGCTTTTCCAAATCCTGTGTTTACAGAGCCGTGCCACACTTTTCTCCTTCCTCCTCCTACTTGCCCTGGCCTCCACCTGCTGTACGTGTCTCTTTAAAATCTCAGTTGCATGGAGAGAGCTCCCTGTGCAGCCACATTGGTCTCTTCAGGAAAGTATTCTTTCTTTTTTCATCACACTTGTGGCTCCTTGTATCTTCAGAATTTCCTTCCGGAGAACCTCTTGCCACTCCTGGGCAAACTTGGGGTGTATGTCAGACTAACCCTATATTTCCTCTCCTTCTCTAGCACAAATTCTAGGGAATAATGGTCACTTCCCTTCAGGGCTGTCATCAAATCCTTCCTTTGGGTAAGAATGAACTTGAACTTTTTGCACCTCACGTCTGTCATCTTCCAAATGGGGATAACCCCCCCCCAGCTGGAAGTCAGCATGAGGGCACAGCACTCTTCTTCCTTTCCTGAAGGCTCCTCATCGTCAGGATCGTTCTGAGGGTTTTGGCTGTGGGGCCTCCTCTTTTGTTTGCTGCCAGTCAGTACTGAACACAGGAAGCACACTCACCTGGAGTCATCCCCAGACAGCAGGCCTGCCGTGCCCACTGAGTCTTGGCCAGGGACCCAGCCAGACACACCCCCTCGCAAAGAGCCACAGCTGACACCCAGAGACACAGGCACCTGGCCCCCACTTGGGAGGCTCTCACTCTGGCTGGGACTCCAGCAGGGCCAGGGCTATTCTGGGTATCTCTCTCTCTCTCTCTGTCTCTCTCTCTCTCCAGCTGTATGGTTGACTCATCGCCAGAGCTACTAATTACAGCCGTCAGAGACGCCAGGGATGGGTGGGGAAGAGAGGGGGAAACGCAGGCGGGCCTCAGAGCTTATTTTGGTAACTGCCTGACCTCCCTCCCCTCTGCCCTCCCCCCACCCTGGGGTCACCCAGCCAGCCCCTTGTGCCAGGGACACACATAGCCCCACCCCAAGGTCCAGCACCCAAGGGAGAAGCCAGTCAATGTAAGGGTATGTGAGAGAACATTCAGAGAGAGGAAGAAGGGGGCTGTGAAACTGTTGGCTGTGCCTTCACCCCTCTCCAGAGCAGTGGAGAAGGTCAGAGCTGGAAGAGGCCTTGGGTGAGGAGGGGGGCGCTGGGAATGAGATATACCTCCTCTTCCCCCAGGCTTAGGGCCAATCTGTACCAAAAAGCAGCCTGGGAGACTAGAACCCCGAGGCTCCTGACCCAGACAGCCGAGGCCCTGAGCTTCCGAGGCCGGGGATCTGAAGGCTTGTGAGCCGTCCTTAGGGCTCTTTCTTCTGTTCCCTGGTTCTCCCCTTTTCCAAACTGTCATTGGGAAAGGGGCTGGGACCATTCCCTTCCCCTGAGGATTCTCCAGAGAGGAGGGAGTGGGCCAGGGAAGGGAAAAAAGCCTGGTGGGGACAGCCCCCCAAGGCATAACAGAGTCCCTTCCTTTCTCAGCCCCTAGTAGCTGTGGTTTCTCTTGACACCACATTTCTGTTGCCAAGGGAACTCTGCAAACAAGTGTCAATATGTATACCCCCCAGCCCACCACACTCACATTCCCTTCCTCCCGCATCCCCTTAGCAACCTCCACTCACTGGTACCAGCACCCTCAGCCTGGCTTCTCACAGTGTGACCTTGGCCAAAACCACTCCTGAAGGCCCACTTGAGTCTAGCTTCCTACCCTCTCACTTTATAGCTGGGGGAACTCAAGGCCCACAGTGGGGTAGACACTTGTCCAAGGTCAGGAAGAGCTGGAGCCCTGAGTCAGGCAGGAAGGAGGCCGAGGGGCCAGGCCTCACCCTGTCTCCCCTGGTGCCAGGTCTCACCCTCACCCCGCCCTGTCTCCCCTGGCGCCGGATCCCTTTCTGTCCCTCCCAGATGTCAGACCACACTCTGTCCCTCCCCGGCACCAGACAGATGTTTTTCCCCTCCAAATGCAGAGCTCACGCTGCTCCTTCCAGATGCGGTAGCTAGCCATGCCTCCCCTTCCGCCCCTTCCCATACTCTCCCTCCCATCCAAAAGGAAACAGGGACTGACCTGACTGTTCGGGAGTTCTCCCCATCGGACCTGCAAAAGGGATTTGGAGAGGCAGGGAAAGGAGGGAAAAAAGTAGACAAGGAATTAGGATTATACTGGGACTGTAGAGACCTGGCCCTCTCTCCCTGGGAGCCCAGACCTGCCTCAGTCAGCATATCCACAGGGAGCCAGATTTTGGCCCTATCAGGCTGAATATCCTGCCAATGAAGCCAGATGCCCACACTTTATGGTTCTATCCCTCTGACTGTCCTTCTGTTCTGTCGATCTCTCTCTCTTCTCAAAGATCACTACTGTCCTGAGCTAGAAGGGACTTTCACAGATCCATTCTGGGGATGGAAAAACTGAACCCCAAACAGTCCAAGGCAGCAAACCTCACAATGAAACGGTTTGTCCTGCTGATAAAGAGAGAGGCAAATAAGGGATGGCTCTCTGATAGGCGGGGAAGGCTATGTTGGAAAATGTAGGTGAAGCGAAAATAAGAGATACCAAGAAAAAATGGATTTGAAAAAACCCCTAATGTCAGGGCAAGAAAAAAAGCTGAGACCACAGATCCGAACTCTCTCATTCCCCAGGGGAGGAAATGGAGGCCTGGGAAGGGAAAAGGACCTCAGATACACTAACGTCGGAGAAAGAAGGGTCCTTAGAGCACGAGGCACCATGGCCCTGCCCACCTGACCGCAACACTACCGAGGGAAGCCTGACAGCACACAGGACAGGCTCAGGCTCTGGGAATTCACTAGAATTCACTAGAACCTTTCTCTTCCCAGAAGCAGCCCAGAGGGAGAAGCCCAAGGGGAACTGAGTCCCAGGGACTGGGAAGGGGAAGGAGGAGAAGACCAGGGAGGGCTGTCAAAGGGGTACACAGCAGCTGCCCCCAACCCAATACTTGCAGAGTCAATGATAGGTAGAGGAAGAAGATGAAGAAAGACACCAACTATTAAGCAGGAAGGCTGACCATTGGACAGGAGCCTCGGACTTGGGTTTGGCCTGACTGGGAGACCCACAGCAAGACCCACCCCCAGCAGGCCAGACTCAGCAAGAGAGCCCATTTCCCAGCCCTAGTCCCAAGGCACCATAGATATGCGTCTCCTTCTCATCCTCCCTGGTCCATCCTTCAAGCAGGAAACCATCCTCACTTCCACCTCCCTTCACCCCATGGCCCACATGCATTGAATTCTTCTCTCCTGCTCCCCTTCTGAGAGGAAGCCTGCCGCCCCCGCCCCCCCATGATCAAGGCAGAGACCAGGTCTCACTGGAGCCCAGATCTGCAAACTGGGAAAGCAGTGGGGCTCTGGCTTAGCAAAGCACAGCTCTGGCCAGAGCCAGCCCAAGGACCACTGGCCTGGGGGTTGGGGGGGAAAGTGTGATAATATGGGCCCTCCCCCACTGCAGACTGAGCACAGAGAGGAATCCTTAGGCCTAATGGGAAGAGAAATGGAGGGGAGGAGGAGGGAAAGTGGGCTCTCCATTCCCCTTTTGATCTGAACTTGTATAAACTGGGATGAGTCCCTTGACCTATCCAGGCCTGTGGTCTCCAGGGCCCTTCATCATCATTGGGGATATCGCCATGTACCCAAGTGTCTCACCTCTATGAATCTGAGTCCCAACCCTCCCTGGCTCCAGTACCCTCTGGTGCCCGTGAAGAGGTCCTGGCTGCTTAACTAGCTTCAATTGGGGTTTGCTTTGGAGACTGGCTACAAGGCCTGTGACCACTCACTTTGTACTTTTTCCCTCCTTTGATTTATTTATTTATTTTTTGGGTGAGGCGATTGGGGTTAAGTGACTTGCCCAGAGTCATACAGCTAGGAAGTGTCAAGTGTCTGGTCTGAGGTTGGATTTGAACTCAGGTCCTCCTGACTCCAGGGCCAGTGCTCTAGCCACTGCATCACCTAGCTGCCCCCATTTTCACCCTCCTTAGGCAGTGGCACCACCATCCCTCTTCCTGGGAGCTCACCATCTTAGTGCAGACACTTGATTGTCTGTGGGGGAAGGGAAGGGAAGAAGTACTTAGATAACATTTGCCATGTACCAGGCACTGTGCTAAGTGCTTTCCAAACACTATCATCTCATCTGGTCTTCACAACACCCCTGGGAGATAGGTGCTATTATCATCCCCATTTTAAAGTTAAGAAAACTGAGGCAGGCAGAAGGGAAGAGACTTTCCCAGGGTTACACAGCTAGGAAGTGTCTGAAGTCGAATTTGAACTCAGGTCTTCCTGCCTCCAAGCCCAGTGCTCTGTGCACTGTGGCGCCCTCTCGCTGCTTTAGCCCAACTATTGCTCAGAACTGGGCTCAGCCATCCCAGCAGCAGGGAAGCCAAGCATTGAGCCACCCATGTGTCAACATGGTAGGTGACTTTCCCACGATGTCACCACTAGGGGGCAGCAGGGAGTCCGGAGCCCAGGCTGTATCTCTCCTGGGAGTCCAGAAGCTTTCCCTTGGCAGGAGGGTCCCCACCCCGAGCTGGGAAGCCAGGCACATCTCCTCAGCTGGCTGCCAGCCCCACCTAATTTAGCATTTTCAGGGTCCTGAGACACGTGGAAGGCTCTGAGTTCTGTCTCTGCACACTTGGTCCATGGCCAGCTCCTCCCCATATCTCTCCCTGGCCCCCACTGAGGCGCAAACCGCCTCCTTCCTGGAAACCTCCCGACTTGCCGCCTGCACACCAGCTTCCTTTCCTTGGCTTCCTTTCCGGAGGGAACAGACTTGCCTGCCGCTGAGGAAAATTATGTAACAGGAATAGTGCAGCAGGCCTGCAAGCTGCCCACGTGCACCTGGGAGGCCCAGCAGTGGGCTACCACGTGAAGTGGCCTGACAGGGGGGAAGGGACCCAGCTCCCACTTACTCCCCTGAGGGCAGCCAGGAAAGAAGGAGAAGTGCAACAAGGTCACGTTCTCTAAGCCCCACTTGCCTGGCCACCTCCACAATGGCATTCCCCCTCTTGGGGCTCCGGCTTCACCATCTGTCAAATGAAGGGGTCGAAGTGATGAAATATTTGCTGAGGCTCTTTAATGCTAAATCCCTTGACGGGGGTCCACTGAAGAGGATCCTGAAGGTCTCTCCTAACTGCAATGTCCTGGGTGTCTCAGCCTAAAACAGCCCTAAATGGAGTTAATCTTGGCTTAGGTTCCCAGGAACCACTGGGGCCCCTCGTTCCCCATCTAAGCAGCTTCTAGCTTTTCCCGGCAAATGCCACATGACTACATCTCCTGTCAAGGACATATATGTACTGGAAGAAGAAAGAGCAGGTGAACATGTCAGCTTAGCCCCCTCCCCATGTCCCTGCTCAATGCCCCAGAGATTCAAGGACCACTCGCCCCCCTGGCCACTTAAGGGCTCCATGGAGAGGGGGAGTGACCTATGGGGAGAACAGTGGCATTCCAGTGGAATTTCCAGGCTTCAGTTTCTTCCAAGATTCCTCTGCTTCTAAATCTATGTCCCTTATACCTGGTGGGAGGGTGGCTGCAGTAACCTCCAAGGTCCTTCTCAAATTGCCATGAGCCTGTCACTGCAGCTGAGCAAGATGAAGGGCATGTGGTCCCATTCCCCCCACTGTTGATTGAGGCTTATCCCAGGCCCCCACCTATAGCAGAGCCTGGCCTAACTCCTCCCCCCCAGCCAGCCAGCCATTTTACAGATGAGGAAATAAAGGAGCAAAGAGGGAAAGGGACTAAGCCAAGGTCACTTCTGCTTTCTCTGCCCTTCTCATCCTCTTCCTCCATGCCAGAACTTGCACCTCCCCGAGTGCTTTTGCTCAAACACTTCCAATGGGCATCCAGCATGCTAAAGCTGGCATCCAAGGTCTTGGGCTTACTTAAATGCTGGTCTCGCCACTCAGCCGACAGACTGGTCTGTCCATCAGTTGCTCAATAAACATTTATTAAGCACCTATGTTACAGGCTCCCTAGTGACTCTGTCCAATAGCCCTTAGCTCAACACTCCAGAGGGGAACAGAAGCTTCTTTGTGATGTTTCCTTGAGACATTTTGTGTGCAGCAGACTCATCACCCAAACAATCCCTCCCCCTAATTCTGAGCCTGTTCCTCAGAGACAGGTCAACAGGACCAGCTCGTGGTAGGATAACTACACCTCCCTTTTCCCTAGGTGATCTAGGTGTCCAGGTATTTGAAGGAAGTGCTTAACCCAAGCTCCAAATCTGAGGATCACAGGGTTTTTAGAGGCCTTACACAGAAGATGACGTTGAGGCTTGCTTGAGGTCCCAAAGGGAATGCCTGCCTGCCTCCCCAGACAGGGAGGGCCTTTTCTGCTCTGCCACTCACTTTCCCTCTCTTCTCTGGCAAAGGGTTCCCCTATCACTCTGCAGCTTCTGAAGAGCTGGTTTCTGAACCCGTAGCCCTGGAAAAGTGACTAAGCTGTTCTCGCCTTTTATCCTAGTAATCTCACCGGTAGGCATTTATCCCAAGGAGGCCAAAGCCAGAAAGAAAGGCCTTCTACGTACCCAAATATTTGTGGTCACTGGGGAATGGCCAAACAAAAGTGTAGCATGTGGCTGTGCCACAAGAAACAATGACATGAGGAATTCTGAGAGATCACATCATCTGACTACGATTGACACACCCAGGAACCCCCATCAGAATTGCACAGGACTATGCAATAGTCGACAGCATCCGCAACAAGAAAGGAGAGAGAAAGCCTCAGAGGCCTCATGCCTCCCCCCGGAATGTTTGTTACACACTGTCAGACCAGGTCTCTTTTTGTTTTCCTTTTCTAAGAGAGGGCACTGGGGGGGGGGGAGAATTATTGGGAAATGAATCTGCAGTCAAGATCACCATGCATTTTTAATCAAACCTAGAAAATGCAAAAGAAAAAAAAAGAGGCTTCCTCTAAGTATCAGAGGTAGTCCTCAAGCTAGGGGTTGACCAGTACAGAGAACAGGGGAACCATTCCCTTCCTGTTTCTTGACAGAACTGGGGACCCTATTGGCCTCTAAGCCCCAGAGCTGCCACCTGCAGGAGTGGGTAACTAGGTAGATTTCCCGGAGGCAGATAACAGCCAGAGCTGAGGGAGCTAGGGCACCAGCTTGTCTGGGAAGCTGGAGAAAAGCCACCCCCACCCCCGCTGGTGAAAGCCACTTCCCTCCCATCAGCACATCCACACATCCCCTGCTTTTCCACCAAGACATACATACTTGTCTTGGGCAGTGATCTCTAAGCACCTAGGTGAGCTCAGCTGCCATAACCTTTCTTCTACTCAGTCTCAGAAAGACAGACCCATCCAACTAGAGACACACAGACCGAAGGGAGGAAGTCGGGGTCAAGAGAGGCCCCAAACACATTACTACCTTTGCCTTCTGCCAGGCCAGATGGAGAAGGCCCTAGAGGCACCATAGCAGTGGCTTCCCCCCCCAAAAAAAACCCAGCAAAGGACAAAACTGGCAAATCGGCCCAGGGTGCCTCCTAATCTCTTAGGAGAAAGGAAACTCGGGCTCTCAGGGAGCCCCAGAGAGGAGGGGGTGGGGATGGCCGGCTCCCAATCCTCCAGCCGCCCCTCCCACAGGGCTCCCAGGGGGTGGTACAGGAAGAAGGCCACGGGGCTCAGAGTCGAGGATTCAGCCTCCCTCTTGGGGTCAAGACTCCTAGATTTACAACTGAAAGGGACTTTCAGAGGTCATGTGGTCCAATCCCTTCATTTTACAGAAATGGAAACTGAGTCTCAGAATGGGAAAGTAATTTGCCCAAAGGCACGCAGGTAGTAAGCAGCAGGTTTCCTGACTCAAGCAAAAGTAAGCTAAAAAGCCTCCTCCGCTGGCCAAAAGGATTTGGCAAGCAGGAGCTGGGCTCCAGAGATCACTCGGCGGGATCTGAACGGGCTAGGGGCACAGATCGGCTACTTCCCCAGCAGGGCTGGCTCAAGGGCAGAGCCCCGGGGGCAGACCCAAGACCAGCCGTCCAAGGGGAGAGCCAGGGAACACGGAGCAGGTGACCCCCCCGCCCCCAGCCTTGCCCAGTCGGGGGCCACACGAACGCCCGCCCGCATCCACGCATGCCTGTATGGCAGCTAGGTCCCGAGCTGGATGGGGCGGCTCGGGGAGAGTTCCCACGTGCGCATACACGCGCAGGCACAGACCTCTCCCCCGCCCCCTCCCACACTGGGGGCCCACTGACACCCCGCCCCAGAGCCAACTCCGCGCTGGCCTGCCTTACTTTCTCCGGAGCGTAGTGGCCGGGCTCGTGCTTCCGCTGGTGCTGTGGCCCCCGCCCGCCCCCGGACTGGAGCTCCTGGAGGCCCCCCGGCTCATCTGGCCCCGGGGCGGCTGCGGGGGCTGCTGCGGCGCTTTTGGCTGCTGCGGCTGCGCTTGGGGGGGCTGCTGCGGCGGCTGCGCCGGGGGGGGCTGCTGCGGCGCCTGGGGGGGCTGCTGCTGCTGCTGCTGCGGCGGCGGCGGCGGCGGCGGGGGGGCTGCTCCCCTCGGGCCCCCCCGCCCGCCCCTCCCGGGTACGGAGAGGGCTCCTCGCAGGGGCGGTGGCGGCTGCCGGGGCAGTCCCGGACGGCGCGCTCGTGGTGCAGGTGGCAAGGGGGGGCGCCGCCGCCGAAAGGCCCGTCCCTCTGGTGCTCCCCTCGGTGGTGCGGGGGCTCTCCCCGGGCCGCGTAGGGCGCTTTGCCGGCGATGGGCGGCGGCGGCGGCGCCCGGTGCGGGTGTCCCGGCCGAGGCTCGCGGCGCAGATGCAGGCGCTGGGTGTCTCGCAGGTTCTGGTAGGGGCTCTCCCGGGCCTGCAGGGGCCCCGCTCCGGCTGCGGCCGCGGCGCCGGCACGCAGGTCTCGGTTCTCCCGGCTCAGCCGGTCCACTTGGCCCTCCAGCTCTTCGATGCGCCTCCGCTGCGTCTCCAGCAGCTGCTGCTGTCCTTCGATGATGTTATTGAGCTCCAGCAGGTACTCCACGGCGCGGCTGGGGCTCTCCCCGGCGGCCCCCCCCGCGCCGCCCCCCGACTCGTCCATGGGGGCCCCACTGCGGGCGCCCGGGGCCTCGGGCCACAGCCCCCAGAGGCAGCTGCCTCGGCTTCCTCCTCCTCCTCTTCGTCGTCGTCGTCGTCCTCCTCCTCCTCCTCTGTGTCCTCCCCCCCCGGGTCCCGGCGCTGGTGCCGCTGGTGCCGGCCCGGGGGGAGGGGACCGCCGGGGGCCGCGGGCGCGCACGGGGGCTGCAGGCCCGGGGAGGGGGGTCGACAGGAGGGGAGGGGGGGCAGAGGATTGGGGGAGGGGGAGGAGGAGGAGGAAGGGGGGGGCGACAGACGGACCTGGGGAGTGGGAGGAAGAAGGAAGGAGGACTGAGCGAGCGATCGGCCCCGCGGAGCTGGCCTGGGCTCCGACTCCCGGCTCGGGTTCGGGCTCCGGCTCCGGCACCGCTGCGGAGTCACTGCGCAGTGCCCAGACCGAGCCCGCCCCTGGGCCCGCCCTGGCCGGGCCAGCGCCCGCCTTTGAGCCCACCCCTGGGCCCTCCTCTCCTGCTGCCCTCGGCTAGCTCCGCCCCTCTCCCTCCTTCTCCGCACTCCTCCGTCCATCCATCCATCCCTCCCTCCCCATCTCGGGCCTGCCCAGAGTGCGGGACGCAGGGTGCAGCACCCCGGGGCCTGGCCGGGTGGGGCGACGCTCCCCCCTTCGCAAAGATAGCCGGCGCTTCCAGGGCCCGCCCACTGCTGGCTCTGCCCCTTCCCTCTCGCCTCCTCCCCTACTTTCCCGATCCTTTGCTCCTCCTCCTCCTCCTCCTCCTCCTCCTCCTCCTCCTCCTCCTCCTCCTCCTCCTCCTCCTCGTCCTCGTCGTCGTCCTCGTCGGTCTTGCTTCTCCCTTTCTACCTCCTTCCTCCTCTTCTCTCTTTCCCCTCAGACTGAGTAACATGGATCCCTCCCCAACTCGGCCACAGGACTGGAGGGAAGGAAAAGTTGAGCTGGCTGGGAGGGCTGCCCAGACCCTCCTCCGTCGTACCGGCGACCCTCGGGAAGTTGGGATCAGCTCTTAGTTTCCCATTCCTTGGCCTCCTCAAGGCCCAGTTCGACTCAGGTTTCTCTGGTGCCAAAGCTCTCCCAGGCTTCCCGGCGGCCCACACGCTCTCCCAGGCTGAGGGGGGGGGGGACGGACAGAGTTTGCAGCCTGGGGCAACTGGATTGAAAACAGGAATAAAGCACCCACTGGAAGCGGCTCCCTCCCCGACCCGGCCTTTACTCAGCCCGGGCAAGTTATTCCAAGATGGGACACCGAACGCTAGCTAGGCCCTTCGAAACTACCAAGTGCTGGGTGGAGAGACACAATGGAGTACGCCATGGGAGGCCTGGCCCGGGAGTTCAGAGCCTTTGGCCGAGGGACCTTGGTCAACATTTCTTGGCACCTCCTACATGCCAGGCACTGTGCATGTTATACAAATAAAAACAAAGACAATCCCAGCCCTCAAGAGGCTTACAATCTATGGGAGAGACAACATAGAAAAGAAAGCTGCAGGGCAGGGAGAAGGTAAGTCAGTCTGGGGCCTGATGGGGAAATCCCCAAAGTCCCACCACTGCGGAGCTGTGGCAAGAGGCCCTGGAGCCCGTGGCCTCCGAGGGGCCAGTCAGAGAGGCAGAGGGGCCTGGTGAGATATGGGCACCCAGGCACATTCAGTCTTGCAGGATAATGACATTTCCCTGTGATGAGTTTCTTGGGGAAGGACGCTATGATGCTTCAGAGCAGGGGCCTCAGTTTCCCCAGAGGAGTCAGCACAGTTGGCTGTGAGAGTAAAGTATCAGTCCCTCCAGAGGGAGGGAGAGAGCTGTGTTTAATCTGAAGGTCCAACTCAGCTAATTAGCCAGCTACCCTGAGGGCCTCCAAGGGGGGTGGGGTTACCCACTGCCTGTCAGCAAAGGCAGGCTCCTCATTCTGGCCCAGCTCTTGACACAGCTGGCTGCCTGGGAGCATCCCAAGAGAGGGGAAGTCTTTGTTGCCCCAAGCCCTGAGCCTAGCCTTGGGGTCCCTCCACCAAAGACCAAAGAGCCTGATTTTCAAACTCCCACCTTATCCTGAAACCACAGAGCAAGAAAGAGAGTGGAAGGCAGAGATGAAGAAAGACAATCCCCCCCCACCATGGACCACATACTTGCTCACCTCCACCAACTTCCTGGACAGCTTCTTCACCTCCCTGTCTCCTCCTGCTTCGGCCCAATCTAGCCAGCCCCCCACCCCCCAGTCCAGCTCCCCTGGCCCTAAGTTCTCCATGCCCTGCTTGCCCTCCCTGGTCTGTTCAGACAGCCAGGCCAGACCCATCCTCCACCTCCCCTCACCACACAGCCCAGCACCCTTGAGCTTCTTCCCAGCCCTGGTCCCCACTTTTTCCTCCACCTTCCATCCCTCCTCTCACCCCTTCCTTTAAAGATGGGGACGACATTAGGATTCCCTGGGAATCCCTGGGAAGGGGGGCAGTCCAGCAGTGAGAAACCCAGAGACACAGCTCCTAGGGCAGTGAGCAGCAGGCTGGCTCTCAAGCCCAGAGATCACTGAAGCCTCAGATGGGGACATGCCATGTCCTCAGAGCACAAGGCCTCACACCCTGAGGGGCAGACAGAGGGATCTACAGGAGAGGAGGAAGGCCAGAAGGAGGATCTGTCCTCTACTTTTTCCCTTTAGTGAGTCTCAGACCAGAGGAGAGCTACAGGCCCAGCCTCTGACTCTTCCTCTCAGCTCCTGCCAAGCTGCCCCATTTCCCTCCCCCGGACCTTCTTCCCCAAGTCCTTCACCTGCAGATCTCTCCCTCATGCCCCAATTTGCCCCACTCTCCCTCCAGGAGATGGGAGTTCTTTGGCGGTGGGGACCCCCCCCCCATCTCCATCTCCCTCTACTGGCAGCACCTCATAGTGTCGAACTCTACAGGAACCGGGGCCCATTAAACTGCACCAAAGGATCCCTGGGGGCTGCCTAGTGACTTAGAAAACCACATAGTAACATTATCTCTGTGCAACTGTATTTCTTTATTTTGTTAAATAATTCCCAATTACATTGTAACCTGGCTTGTCAGTTCAGTATCGTGGGCAGCATCTGTTTATGCCTCTGTCTTAGCAAATGGACCCAGTGAATACAGAGAGGCACGAGAACCTCTTTCCTGGTGGTCCTCCTCAGTTGCCTTTGCTTGACCATCATCCATAGCCAGACTCCTAACTGGAGGTATACCCCCACGGGCCCTCCTCTCTCAACACGCTTCTGCTTGGTAGCACGTCAGCTCCCGTGGGTTGAAGTCTCACCTGTCTATGGGGTCCTCATCTCCCTCCGAGGCCCTATTCCACATCACCAGCTGCCTGTGGGATATCTCTTGGGTGGCATGTAGGTGGTATCTTAGACCCAACGTGGCAAAACTGTTGTTACCACATCGATATTTTATCATTCTCTTTCTTTCCTATGGGTTTCCTTATTTGTGGTGATGGCTCCCCCCCAACCCTTCCGGTCACCTCTGTTCTCAGCCTCAGTTCTGCCATCTCTCTAATGCTAATGTCCACATTGCCTGCATTTGTCCTCTTCTCTCTACCCATAACCCCCAACTTTCTACCATTCTATCTCTCTCTCTGCCTCATCGCTACTAACCTTGTTCCTCCTCACTGAAGCCTCCAGTCCCTCCATCACTCCCTCCTCTTGCCTCTCTCCTCTCTTCATGGCCTTGATCTGTAATGGACATCTCTGCTTAAATCCCCCCACCCTCCGGTCCTAGGACACAAGCCTGAATTCCCCTCCCCATCCACTTTGTACAGCCAGGTCCCAATCACTGCAAACGACGAATCCCATGGTCACCTTATTCAAATTCCACTGCATATTTCCATTGGGCTGGAACCAATTACCATATTTTACACAATCACAACTTTGAATAGTATAGATCACTTCATGGCATTCACTGCTGACATCAATTGGGGCCTGACTGTACTTCCAACTCCCTATCTCTCTCCTCTTTTGCTCCAGTCTCTACTAAGTGATGGGACTCTTCTCACCAAGGTCAACCACCCGACTTGTGCCCTTAAGCCCATTTCCCCACCCCCCCACCCCAACTTCAGTTTCCTCCTTTCTCAGCCAAACTCCTAGAAAAAGCTGTCTACACGTGGTGCCTCCACTTTCTCACCTCCCACTTGCTTCTCAACCCCTCACAATCTGGCTAATTCCGACCTCGTCACTCAACTGAAACTGATCTCTCCAAGGTTATGAATGATTTCTTAATAGCTAAACCTGATAGCCTTTTCTCAGCTGTAACCCTCTTTCAGACTCAGTTTCTTCATCTATAGCAATAATATCTACCTCCTACAGTTACTGTGGGGTGTATCAAGGAAGATAATGTATGTGAAGCACTACAGAAATGTTGGTCAGTCTTATCAACCATCATCCCCATCCTCCAGGACCTCTCTGCAGCCTGGGCCAACTCTAATGTGTATGTGTGTGTGTAGCAGTCCTCATTTTCCTCTTGAGCTCCAGGTTCTACATCACCAACTTCCTGCCGGACAGCTCCAACCTAAGTCCAAAACAGAATTCGTGATCTTTTCCCACCAAACCTCATTATTTCTACCTGGATTTGTAACCACAGTCATCCCTGTACAGCTCCTCCTCCTCCTCTCCATTTAATCCACTCCATTTCTAACCTCTCTCCACTCACAAGGCCCAGTCCAAACTTTTATAATTTCTCATCTGGTTCCCCCATTCCAGTCTCTATACTCTGCAATTCAGTCCCCACACAGCCTGCAAAATCATCTTCCCAAGGCCATTTCCTTGTTCCAGAAGCTTCAAGTGACTCTGGTGTCTCTAGGGCCCAATACAAGCTCTTCCCCTTGGCATGTAAAACCCTCTGCCTTTGTGAACTTCATGACCTATGCAGCCTGGCCTATTGACTGTTCACATCTTTGCGTCTCCCTTGCCCATGCTCAACCATTAGCGTTCTTCAGGACTCAGCTGAGGTGCAGCTTCCCACGTAGTGGGTGGTCTCCCCGTGTGGCAGGTGCAGAAGAGATGCATAATAGATTGTCTCCCTGGATGGGCACATGTCAGTGAATGGGAGCTCTTGGACGCCAGAGTCTGTCTCCTGGTTTTCTTCAGGTCTCTA